TGGCATTGTCTTCTAATCCCCGGGGCTAATGCCTCCAGGCTTTTGTTCTGTTTCTTTCTCCTGGGATGCCCTTTCTGTGCCATATCTCCCCAGCTTGCAAAGCCCTCTCGCGTGCTGCATCCGCCGATGTCCCACCGCCATCAGCACTGGAGTAACCTCTGGATCTGGTTTTGGGACCCCCAAGCTTCCTTTGCATTTCTACTCCAAATGTGCTCATCTCAACCCTGGAGGGCGAGGGTGTCCTCTGGGTCTGTCTCCTGGTGAGAAGCTAGCAGCTCCTTGAGTGGGCTCTCAGCACTGGCCTCCGAGGGGCTGCTACATGAGAGGGATGATGGGCGAAGCTTGGCTTCCCCTTTTTATTTACTTGTGCACCAGGTTTGCATAGAGATGGCTAACTTGGCCCTTCCTTCCTCTCCAGGCCCCATCACAAGCTGCATCTTAAACTCCAGGTCCCAGATGGTGAGGACAAAGTTATCCCAATATGCCCCCGCATCGGGTATAGGTGCGGGTTTTAAACAGAGAGAAGAAAATAACCAACCAACAAGCATCCACCAAGCCTGACCTTGGCCTGGCATTGAACAAACCCTGGAGGAGAGGTTGGGGCAAGATACCTGCCCTCTGGGGCTCTCAGGGGAGAGGGCAGGGACCCTCCAGGGCAGGGAAGTTTTGGCTCTGCTCACTCTCAATCTGGCACTCAGTGGGAGCTCAATAGCTATTGGCCAAAGAAATGAATTAATACAGACAGTATCTGATTTATGATAGTTTGACTTAAGACTTTTCAGCATTATGATGGGTGAGAGCAATATGCATTCAATAGACATTGTACTTCAACTCTTGAGTTTTGATCTTTTCCTGTGCTAGCAACAGGCTGTATGAGCCTCTCTCGATGCTGGGCAACAGCAGCCGGTCCCAGCTCCCATCAAACACCATCAGGAGAGTGAAGGCCGGGGGCTCTACAGTCTCCTGCCAGCTCTTCTCAGCCTCACCAGCAGAGAGAACTGGATCACCCTGTTACAGGAGCATCCCCGTATCAGGCAATTCCTTTTAGCTTAGAGTTTTAAACACTCTCTGGGCCTGTATGAATGCTGCGCACCCAGACCATCACCCTGTTTTTCTTTAGCTTAGTATTCAATCAATTGCATGAGCTATTCAGCACTAGCTAGAAAAGAGGCTTGAGCTGGATCATTCAGCCCAAGTGTAGGTTTGTGGAAGTGTCCTGAGCACGTTTAGGGCAGACGTGGCTAAACTATGTTTGATAGGTTGGGTGTATTAAATGCATTTTGATGTAATGATATTTTCAAATAGGATGGGCCGATGGAACAGGAACCCCATCATAAACACGGGAGATCTGCAGTTGTTCACCCCGAAGCCCTGAGCACACCATATAAGGCTGGATGGTGCTGACTGCCGTGAGTCAGAGCTGTAGAATCCACAGACAAGAGGGACTGGAGGAGAGAGAGACTGGTGAAGGGCCAGCAGGGTTGTGGTTGACCGAAATCAAGCTAAGGACTGATCTTTAAAATGCACTTGGCCACAGTTGCCAGGGAGGCAGCATCAGACACTGTGGTTTTCAATCTTTTTTTTTTTTTTTTTTTCTGCAGAGCAATCTTTTTTTAAATGAAATCATACACCGCACCCTAAATGCATAACAGAGCTGCCGGGGTGGACGTGGCGGGGCAGGGTGGGAGACAGCTGCTGTGGCCTGGAACCCCGCAAAGGCCCCTGGGGCCCTTGGAGACGGGTTTTCTGCCCAATCAGTGGCTGCCTCCTCTCTTCCTGCCCCTCGAGAAGCCTCCAGGAGGTGGTGGCCGAGCCTGCAGGCTCTGCTGGGAACAGGGCCGGCAATGATCCAGTTTTCTGGGCGGCCACTTAGGGCAAATTAACCCTAAAGCAGCTCAAGAAACTCCCCAGTGAGGAGGGAATGAGGTGGGGAGCAAAGGCCCTCTCAACAAGCAGAGGGGGACCCATGGCAGACAGATATGCGGTGGCTGGATAATGGGGTGGCTGCTGGGGAGACTGTGGGGCACTCCTTTAGGAAAATGAAACACCACTTTAAATACACAGTGTGTGCACACATGCACACGTGTGTAAGTCGGGGTCTCTGATAGTGGATCCGGGTGCAGCTGTCAGAGCCACCCCTGCTGCTATGAACCACAAGGACCCTTAGGAGACAATCAGACGTCCCACTTGCTCCATGTTCTCCACCGCTGCCTCAGCACCAGGAGAGAGCTGCTGCTTTATAGTTTACCCAGCATTCCTTCCTTCTTCTGAAAATAGCAGCTGGTTTTTTTCTTTTAGGGCACCAGACCTCTCATACAGTTAGGCAGACTCCCCCCTACCCACACACACACCCAGCCCTCACCCCCAGCCCTAGTCTGGCCAATCAGCACTGTCCCCCAGGTGTCAGTGACTGCTCAGAAATAGTTGTGTGACCCAACACCAGCCAATAAACCTCAACTCCGAGACTTCTGTTAGAACTCCAGGGAGATAAAGCTTCTCCTGCCTTGGCTTTGAAATGAGTCTGAAGCTGCAGGTCATGGCCCCACTGCCATGTAGGGTGGCTGCCAGGGACTGAGCCCACAAGGAGGGATGCAGAGGGCACAGATGCGGGTATCACTTGAGCCCTGGATGCAGCCCTTGGACACCGATAAACAGGCTCCAAATCGCCAGTATATTGGAAACCAATAAAGAGCTAGCTTGGTAACCGGTCTTCTTAATCAGGATTGAATTGAATGTTGGCTTCCAATGAACGCGGCATATGACCTCAGTCTGGCCTCTCATCACCAATGTCCCCTGCAGCCAGTCTTCACTTCTGCCTGTCATTGCTTCTTGCTTACCTGGGCGGCAAGCCTGGCCTTCTGGAGTTGAGCCTGTGGGACCTTCAGACCCAAGGACAGGGCATCAAGGCCAGCAGCCTGCCTGGGCTTGCATGTAGCCCAGTCTTTCCAGCTGACTGGGCCCTCCTAGGGTTGTTTATTGGCTGATCTGGAGAGACCATTCCAACCTCAGTTTAGATGTGTTCAACCTGCCCCTCATTGCCCTGTTTCAGTGACCTTCATTTCTCATTGACCTTCAGAGACCAATACTAAACAATGAATGAGGGCCTAGGAATCAGCCATTCCAGAGCTTGTAGTAGGAAGAATAACCCCAGGGCTTTGGTCCATGGTCTCAGAGAAACCGCCATGGGCAGAGGCTATGGGTAGGAAAGGAGAATCAGGCCCCGATGTCAAGCAGCTGGGAAAAGTTCCTGTGTCTTTTTCTTACCCACATTACCACCTTGAGCAAGTAGTCCTTTTTATGTCTCAAGAGACTCAAATTTGAAGAGGGGATCAAATCATTACACACCTAATAGGAGGCCAAAAATCCACAAAACTGACAGCCCCAATCACTGGCAAAGACGGAGAGCAACAGGAATTCTCACTCATTACTGGTGGGGAAGCAAAATAGTACAGCTACTTTGAAAGACAGCTTGGCAGATTCTTGGAAAGTAAATTATACTGTTACCAGATAATTCAGTAATCACACTTCTAGCTATTTACCCAACTGATTGAAGCTTATATCCACACAAAAATCCCATTTGTGTTTATAGCAGCTTCATTTATAATCATCAAAAGCTGAAAGTAAACAAGATGTCCTTCAATAAGTGAATGGTAAGCTAACTGTGGCACATCCAATGGAATATTATTCAGCAACAAAAAAGGAACAAGTTGTGAAGCCTCAGAAAGATATAGAGGAAGTTTAATGCATATAGCTAAGTAAAAGAAGTCAGGTTGAAAAAGCAGTATATTATACAATTCTAATTATATGATATTCTGGAAAAGGCAAAACTGTGATGACACTATAAAGATCACTAGCTGCTAAGGAGAGGAAGAAGGGAGGGGAAATTTTCTTAAAAGTCATCTTATCTAGCAAGGAGGACTCTCCTCCATATCTGTTTTCCTTTCCTTCCATTGTAACAGAATTGGGCAGATGGCCACACAGACTAAAGTCTCTAATTCCCAGCCTCCCTTGCAGCTAGGTGTGTCACACGATCACATGCTGGTCAATGGGACATAAATAGAACATATGCACCCTCTTACAGGAAGGGTCTTCCTCTCCTTTTTTGATTTCTCCCTTCTTGCTACCAGAATGGAGAGACTATTGTGGGTCATCCTGGATCATGCAGACCAACTATAGTGTAGCCACGGGTCAGAAGAGTATGAACTCCCTAATGTTTTTGTGTCAAAGGATCCACTTAGCTCATAACTTTAATTAGAGATAAATCAACCTCTCTCTTATTTAAGGAACTGTTATTTAAGGCTTTTGTCATACACAATCAAATTATATCCTGATTAATGCAATTATATCCTGACTAATACAATGGAAGAAAAGGAAAATAGATATGGAGGAGCTTCCTCCTAGCTAGATAAAATGACCTTTAAAAAATTTTCCCTCCCTTCTTCCCCCACCCCTGTCAAGACCCCTGTGAAGGTACATAGGTAAAGAATCTTCATTCATTCATTTAACAAATACTGGCCAGTTTACTGAGTGGGTGCTGGGATTTCAACAAAGAACAAGATAGACAAACTCCTGCTCTCACAGAGTCAACACATTAAGGACTTAATTATGGATTGTCATGAGGGCAGAATCCTATTAATAACAACATTTATTGGGGACTTAGCTTATTGCATTTCTGTCCTGTCCTAAGTCCTTTTGATTTTACCTACATCACAAACCAAAGCAGTAGGTGCTGCTACTTCCTCACTGGACTGATGGAGGAAGCTGAGACACAAAGGTTGAGGAAGCTATCCAAGGTCACCCAGCTGGTTCTGTGGTTCCAGGACCTGAACCCAGGTTGGTTAGCCTTTGGAGCCATAACCACTGGGCTCTCCTGCTCATGAAGGGAGTAAAAGAGGAAGTGGGATGGTGAGTGACAGGGTGCCCTGCTGGTGTTTCCATAAGGGACAGTACAACAAAAGCAACATTCAAACCCCATGCTGAGCAAGTCTGAACTCTCTTACCTGGGAAGCCCGCAGCGTTGGGAAGTCTGGAAAAGGACCAGTCTCGTTTCCTGGAGTCAAATTCAAAGTCTTCAAGTTGCTTTGGTGACAGCGTCAGAGCCTCTATTTCTGCAAGGCCAGGAGATGCCCACCTGTTGGAGACAAGACCATGACTTGGCAGACAGACCACGACTGCTAAGTGGGGAGATCTCACTGCTAAGGCTGCCGAGTACTCGGCTGTTTTGAGATGCTCTGCAGGCCCCGCGGGGGCCTCTGATGGTGCAAAGGCTGCAGAGCCTGGGGGTTGGGCATCAGCGTTGGAAGGAGGCATCTAAGGTCCTACCTGGACTTGCTGGGTATGATTCTAAGGCAGAAAGATATGACTATGTCTCAGCTTGTGTATCCTGGATACAAAGACATGAGCGTGGCCCCTGCTGTGTGTAGCACAGTGCCCTGTGTAGGGTGGGGTGGGGGTGGGGCAGCCTTAACAAATGATTTGCTTTGATGTTAAGCAATATTTATTTATTTATTTGTTTGTTTGTTTATTTATTTATTTATAGGTATATTTATTTATTTATATAAGCACTGGGTATAGTCAGAAGCGTGGGAGGGTGAGAGAATTCACCAGAGCCAGAGAGCAGAACAGGCAGAGTGACGAAGTACACTGCTGAGGGGAGCAGCGGGCGGCAGGAGAGGTCTACGTGCCATGTGGGACCCTCGCCCGGCAGCCAGGGATTGAACCGACGCTGCAGAGCTTCACAGCCCAGTGCTCCGGGGAGGCCCTATTTATTTATTTTAAAGATTTGGGTTTTTTTTTAATTTATACAAGAGCTGGGGTACAGGCCAGATGCACAGGAGGGTAAGAGGATGCACCAGAGACAGAGTGGGGAACAGAACAGGCAGACTGAAGAAATACACTGCTGAGGGCAGCAGCAGGCAAGACAGGAGAGGTCTGCTGCGCCAGGTGGGACTCCCCCCTGGACGGCCAGGATCAAACCCATGCTGCAGAGGCTGCAAACAGCTTCACAGCACAGCACTCAACTGCCTGCACCACCAGGGAGGCTCTAAGCAATTTTTATGTCTGAGGGAGTAGGAGGAAACTGAGAGTTTGGGTACAATGGAGGAAAGCTTCTTCCAAAAGTGTGAAAATGGTTTCAATTAGACCAATGGTCCCATTTCACCAACGAGGACACTGATGGCAAGATTGGGATTGTGACTTCCCAAAGTCATACAGCAAGTGGGTGACCGAGGGAGGCCTAAACCCTGGACTCTCTCCTGACTCTTAGGTGGAGTCAGGAGCTCTCCAGGGCTGCATCTCCCTGTGTGGCTGTTGACTTTACAGCCCTGGAGCACCCCAGCAGGTGGCGGGAGGCTGGCCATGGCTCAGAGCAGAGGGCGGTTTCCTGACTGTGTCCACCCCAGGCCAGGGCAGGGACAGTGGCCATAGTGGTCAGGAGTATGGGTCATGGAGGCAGGTGGCCCTCAGCCACATGCTGGGGTACTGCTTTCCAGAAGTGGGGCTTGGGGATAAGTCAGAACATCAGTTTCCTCATCTGTAAAATAGGGAAAACAATAGCATCTCTCCCTGGGGATTACAGGTGGTTGAAAGACTTCCATGTGTCTGTGCAGCCCACAGCAGAGCACCTGGCACACAGCAACTGCTCAATAAATGTCAGGGTGGTGACAGCGACAAGAGGCCAGGACTGCGTGTGCCTGTTGGGGCAGGTGGAGCACTGGACTGGGTGTTGTCTGTGTCCCTGGCAAGTCTTTAGGCAAAAATCTCTCAATTCTGCCAGTCATTCATACGTTCTGCTTTCACGTCCCTGCTTCTCTGTCGCTCCTAGCCAATGGGGGTCCCCAGCCCCGCATACCTGCTTCTCCCTCCAGGCTGCAAACTCCCACCTGCCCACAGGATCCTACACCCCAGCCCACATTTCCACAGCCAGTCGGCAAAATGCAAATGTCATTAACACTGCAAGCTGGTGAGCGCTAATGTCACGCCAGACGGCAGCCAGCACGTGTGAGAGCTGGCGGGGGGGGGGGGGGGGGGCGGGGGTGTGTGTGTGTGTGTGTGTGTGTGTGTGTGTGCGCGCGCGAGCTCCGCAGGAGGGGCGGCATTCTCCACTTTTTCCAAAAGGGCATGATAGGAAATAAATGGCTGCAGGAAAGAGGTGGCAGAGAGAGGGTCTTGGCAGCCTGCTGTGCAGATGTGTCTTCTCAGGGTCTCCCCGGGGCTGCCTGGGCCCTGCTTCGGCCCCATCCAGATGATGCATGTGTCTCAACCTCACATACTTGATGAAGAGGCTTATCTGGGGGACTCTGGCCTTTGTGGTTCATTTCCACCCTGCCCAAGCTTCCTCAAGGCTGCTGAGAGAAGCACATCACCCACTCCGTTAACAGCCATGGTGGTGATGGGGGTGGGGGGCCCCTCACTCCCAGGCAGCAGTGGCACCCCCTGGACCTGCAGGCAGGAATCCTGGGTTTCAGCCCCAATAACTCACTCACTTGCTGAGAGCACTCAGCACTCCTTCGTGGGCCTTGGTGTCTCCATCTGTGAAAGGGGTGTTGGACTCCATCAGTCCCTACAGTCTCCATGGTCAGCTCTGTAGCCCGTGGCCCTAATAACTCACAGGTAGAGATGCTGAAATAAGACTCTCTCTCCTGATTGCCTATTACAGTGGCCCTGGTGATACCAGCAGGTGTTGTGTGTGTGAATGTGTGTGTGTGGGGGGGGGTGAGAGCAGGGTGCTGTGGGTAGGGGCCACAGGGAGCAAAGGCATGGGGTACCTGGATTTTACCAGCTCACCCTGATAGTGCCATATACCCATTTTATTGATGATAAACTGAGGTTCAGAGAGGTTAATGAACTTGCCAGGTACATGGCTGTTAAGTGGGGTGGGTTGGATTTGACCCCACAGTTGAGCAGAAGCTCACAATACGCCGCTGTCTAAACTGTTTAACACGGAGAGTGAACTGGCGAAACGCAGGCATGTGTACGTCATGACGCATGCGGGTGAGCTCACGAGGCATGTGAGAGGGGCGACACGGTGTCTGGGGGGCGGGTGAGGGAGTATCGGTGAGGACTGGATCTAGATGTGTCGGGTTTGCATCCCAGTCCCACCACTGTCCCCAACTCCCACCACTGTCCCCAACTCCCACCACTGTCTCCAACTGTGTGGCTGCAGGCAGGTCACTTAACCTCTTTGGGATTAGCTCTTGTCTCTCCCTCCCTGCCATGTAGTGAAAAAAATCTAGCCACTTCTCAGGGATGACCTATGCAGAACACTCCGAAACCATAAATGATTGCTGGACGCGTGCTTTCTAAAATTTAAGCATTCCTTGCTTTTGTCCCTCAGTGATGTCCCTCTCTTATTGCAAATGAGGATCCTGAAGCTCAAGGTCAATTGGGGAGCTGCTTTGGCAGCAAGGAGCCTCAAATCACAGCAGAAACAAGTTATGAGCAAATAAACCTGAGAGGACTCAGAGAAGTCTTGATTTTAAAATATTGTTAAAGAAGAAGGCTGCTTTATGACTTCTGCACGGTGTGCTTATTAAACCCAGGCTCTGAATGTGAACTAATAAGTAAAATGAGTTAAGTTAATGAAAAAAATCAACCTTCAGGATGGATCCATATTATCTAATGGCAGTCCATAAACATAAACATAAAATTTTAAAATACAAGAATGAATTGCAATGCCCAGCAGCTCAAGGAATCTGCAATTTCTCTGTCTGAAAAATAAAAGCTATTGATTTTAGCTTGGGTTCTCATTGCTCATGAGTGAGTCTTTGAGAAGTCATAAAGGAAGGAATTATTTCTGATTGTTTACTCACTGAGGATCATATATATTGGATTTAAATTGTCTCCAATTCCTAATTAGTGCAAACCAAATTAGAAAACAAGTACAGCAGAGCCCAGAGGCCCTTGGAGGCCTCTGAGCTCAGTTCTCTTTGTTGGATAGACCTGGAACCCTAGGCACAGAGACAAGGAGTGACTTGCCCAAGGTCACACAGCAAAGGAGGGAAGGGTCCAAGAAGAACCAGGGCTTCCGATGCCCAGGTCAGCCTCCTGCTCTGGCCCCTGTGGCCTCAGGCCAGATCATGAAATCTAGGCCGTGTATGGGTATCACAGGGGCCTCAGCCCAGGTGGTTTCCACAATAAGAGCTTTCTCCGAGCTGCAGGAGAAATGTAATCTGCCTAAGACAGGACCCTGGAAGCCAGTCTAATGCTGATAACAACACCGTTCTGAGACACTACAGCTTATTCCTCCCATTGAACCCCGAAGCCCCTGTGCCGGGCAACCCAACGGGGAAGGAGACACACACTGGGGGCCTCCGCTCTGTTCTGAGAGGGGCTGTGGGTGGGACAGCTCATCATATGGCGGGCAAGAAGGGGTTCGTAACTCAGCCAGGCTCTGTCACACACGCGTGTGCACACACTCATGTTTTTACACGCACAAATGAGCACCGCACTGACCGAGGAGCCTTGCACGTGGCTCGGGCAGGCACGTGTGTGAGTGTGTGTGAGTGTATGGGAGTATGTTAAGCTTCAGCCTGCATGTGATTATGAAGCAGATGTTTAATTACTACCTGAGTGTTATTAATCAACACGATTAATACACAACCCATACCACATAATTACTTTGCAATTACACTGAAACGAAATATTTTATTGCAGAGGGTTTGCTAATTACCCGGTCTTGCCAAAGGACAGGTATAATGGACAGCAATTTTTCTTCCTACCTTCCCCTCCATTCCCCCCTCCCCTGTCCACTCATTAATCTTGCGAGCTGATCTCCCCTCAACACAGAGCAGGGAGCCCAGGCAGGCCGAGGGCCTCCTCCCCAAGGTGCTGCTTCTGCACTCACATCTGTTTTAATGTGAACCCCAACTCACCCTGACCCTCTTCTCTCAGCTCTCTTGGAAATGCATGTCCTTTTTAGAGATAACGACAGCCTCCCGCTGGCCTGAGGATGGAAAGGAGTGAGGGGTTAGGGTGAGGGGGACAAGCTCTATGGATAGACGGCTGGAGTGAAGCCTTAGCTGGCGTGTGATCTATGCCAGGCTAACCAGGCCTCGGTTTCCCTGTGTGCAAACTGGTGATGATAACAGCAACTGCCACAGGGGTTTGTCTTAGCATTGAATGTGAGAGGATGCAGAAAGCAGCACAGTGCCAGGCGCAGAGGGGGGCTCCAGCATCACCCACTACTATGATTTACCCAGAAATGGTCATTCCAGGAACGATCAGGTTTTGGGATTCCATTCTCTCTCCTTCCCTCCCCCAATAGTTCAGTTACCTCTATTTGGAAACATGTCCCTACATGGGACCCTCCCCTCTGTGGCCACCGCCATGGCCTGACCTCCCTGAATCAAGCCTCTGTCTCTCCCTGTCCCCCAGCCACAGACTCTACAGCCATGCAGCTCCCTCCCCACTTGCCTCCTTCTCGGACTAGGGAGACAGAACATCAGGAGTGGAGCTTGGGCAACTCCACTGTCCTGCTCCACGGCCTCCCTAGGTCCCCACTGCTTACAAAGCAAGGCCCACCTTCCCCGCAGGTAGCACAGGCCCTGGAAGGTCACAGTGCCCCACATTCCATCCGCATTTCTTAGGACATCACCATGACACAAGCACCTAAACTCTTCACGATGAATGAATGGACGAATGAATGAACAAGTGTTTTACAGATTTTAGAGGCATCCATGCCCACCATGCTAGGATGCCCCAGAGCATTTTATGAACCTGCACATCTCTATGAACTTGGGGTTTCTCCTTCCCCATTCATTTGCAGACTATCTTGGTTCCTTGCTCCATCCCCCTGACAAATGCTTCCTTAGACCCAGCTGCTCTTAAGAACAGTCTTTTAAGGCACCCTGGCCACATCTCCCACTGAGCAGAGACTCTAGGGGCCCTCGGAGGCAGGCCAGCGTGGCGAGCACACAGGACAGGGGGCAGCTCCTCCAAGGGGAGAGAGCCTATGTGCACAAGGAGCGCTGCTGGAGCTACTTCTCTGTGGGAATCAATACTTTCATTTACCAAAATATCAAATAGCATGAGTCATTCATTCAGTCACTCAGTAAACATAAGACATTGGGCTCCGGAGTCAGATACTGGTCATGGAGTTCTGTCTCTACGTCTGAGTAGCCGTGTGACTTTGGGCAAATGCCTTGACTTCTCTGAGCCTCAATGCATCGTGTTGCTGTGATCAGTGCCTCACATGTGGGAAGGGCCATACCATTGTTAGCTGCTTTGTTATTATTAGTAACCACACATAATAAACCCTGGTAACAGAAACTCCACATCTAAAGCAGAGCATGGCGTGCCAAGACTAAGGAATGGCAAAGTTCTAGCAGAACCATTGAAACAGAAGCTGGTAAACTGATATTCATATTTTCATCATGCATTCATTCACTCATTCATTCACTCATTCATTCATTCATTCATTCAACAAACACTCGCTGAGTGCCCACTGTATCAGTCGCTCTGTTAGGCACTGGGGGAAGGAGAGGACTCCAGCACATCTTTGCAGTGAAGCCAAGTGGGAGCTACAGTTCCCAGATAGCTGGGCAAGGGCAGAAGCTGGGGGATGTTCTAAACCCCTCTCTCCTGTATCCCTAATGCCCCCAATTGCCACACCTGGGCCCTAGGTGAATGGATAACAGAGGTGTTAAAGATGTGAGGTAGTGCTGGAACAGGTACTTGGGTTCTAAGGGTGATGGTGAAGAGGAGGAAAGAGATTCCACGCAGAGGGCACAGCCAAGGGGCCTGGACTTGCATGGCAGGCCCAGGGGCAGCAAGCGGGTTGTGTGCTGGCAGAGCAGGAAAGGAGGGGCAGGTGGTGGCCTGATGCTCTGATGCTTGGGCTACCAGAGTCAGGAAACTCATGGAGGGGACACAGGGGCCACTCAAGCTCCCGGCTTTTCCTCCTCTGCCGGATGGTCAAGCCTCGGTCTGTGGCGCTCTGATGCTCCTCCTGAGATGCTGACAGAACACCCAGGGAATACTCAATCCATTTCTCTCGCCTGGGATTTATATGAAGCTCCCGTCTCCGTTACGGAGGTGCAAGGCCACAGAGCAAGTGTTCTGGCCTCCCAGATGTGGAGGTGCAGCGGATGCAAGGTGGGAAACAGGAAGCAGATGCAGGGGAGGGTGCACGAGGCCACGTGGGGACCACAGACGAGGGAAGGCAAATCCGAAAGAGGGAGGGAGTGGGAATTACCAGTGACCTCCTCCCTGGCAGGGCTCTGGGCTTCCATATCACAGGCCTGGAGCTCCTTCCCTCTCAAATTCTCAAAAGCTCCTCCCCACCCCCACTCCCAATCCCTGTTATGTCACACCCTTCTCAGCTCAGCCAGGCGGGTAACAAGCCGAGAATGGGAATTTTACCTGTTAATGTGGTTTCTGAACCCCCGCTGCTTGCCAAGCCCGAACAGCTCCACAGCAGCCTCCGAGAAGGAGGGGAGCGTGGGCAAGAACAGCTTCTGGAAAACAACATCAGCTGGGGGCTCCCCTGAGGTATGAATCTCTCATCCCCTGGGTGGGGTGTCCAGTGGGGTCAGGGGAGCCAGCCCCCCTGGATCCAAAAGCAGAGGATGCCCTTCACCTGCTCACTTGCCCCATCCTGCTGGGAAAGAGCAGGAAGTCTGCAGACGCTGGGGGCTCAGGGGCAGAGCAGAGCCCAGCCAGGGCCAGGTGACCCCGGCCCCTCATCCTTCCTTCCCACAATCTGTCAGCCTTTTTATTTTTTTTTTAAAGATTTATTTATTTATTTTTACAAGCACTGGGTACAATCAGAAGCGCGGGAGGGTGAGAGAATTCACCAGAGCCAGAGCGGGGAGCAGAGCAGGCAGAAGGACCGAAGTACACTGCTGAGGGGAGCAGCAGGCGGCAGGAGAGGTCTGCGCGCCATGCGGGACCCTCCTCCGGAGGTCGGGGAGCAGACGGGGATCGAACCAGCACTGCAGAGGCTGTGGGCAGCTTCGCAACCTGGCGCTCAACCGCTGCAGCACCGGGGAGGCCCTGTCAGCCTTTTTAAACATGGCACCTTCCTTATGTGCCTTGAACCCTGGCTGCCCTGCGCACTGGGCTTCATCTCATCCTTTCCCGCCGACCACGCAGGAGATGGCCATCATTATCATCCCCATTGTCTAGATTCAGAAACTGAGGTCCGAAGCAGTGGACATAGAATTGCCATCTGACCCAGCAATTCCACTCCTAGGAATTCAACCAAAAGAACTGAAGACAGAGTCTTACATACACTGCTCATAGCAGCCATAGTCACAGCAGCCAAAAGGTAGGAACAGCCCAAAGTCCATCAGAGTCTGAAGGGTAAACAGATAAATGCACTCAAAGATCCCTACAATGGAATATTATTCAGCCAGAAAAAAGGAGTGAAATAGGGACACATGCCATAGCGAGGCTAAACCTCCAAAGCCCCGTGCTAAGTGAGGGAAGCCAGGCACAAAAGGCCACAAATTGCTTAATTTAATTTATATGAAATCTCTACACAGACAGAAAGCAAAATATTGGTTGTTAAGGACTGGGAGGAAGGGGTCTGGATGTATATGGGGCTTTCTCTTGGGTTGAGGGAATGTTCTGAAACTTGAGAGGAGTGATGGTAACACACCATGATAAATATGCTAGATGCCACTGAATTGTTACTTTAATATGGTTAATTTTATGTTATGCAAATTTCACCTCTATTTTTACCAAAAATAGGGGAGGGGGGAGAGATGATGTAACTCTCTGAGGGTCAAAGAGCAGGTGAGCGAGGGGGCCCGATTTACCCGTAGTGCTTCTGACCTCAGCGCTGGCGCTCAGCCATCTTCTGTTGCCTGCTCTGTGCTTTGCCACCTCTGGGCCCTTGCCTCTGCTGCTGCCCCCTCCAGGAAGCCCATATTGTTGTCAAAACCCCACCATTGTGGACGTCCCTGGTGGCGCAAGGGTTAAGATGCAACCTATGAAGATATCCACAGCCACTGAAGCACAAGTTCAATCCCTGGCCAGGGAGCCACCCACATGGTGCAGCAGACCTCTCCTGTCTCACCTGCTGCTCCCCTCAGCAGTGTACTTCTGTCAATCTGCCTGTTCTGCTCCTCATTCTCTCTGGTGAATCCTCTCACCAGAGAATCCTGCACTCTGGCTTGTACCCTAGTTCTTGTATGCATAAATAAATAAATCTTTTTTTAAAAAACCCACCATTCTGCCAGGGTCAGGTTAAAAGGCACCCTGACTCTGAAGCCTTCCTGGATTCTATGCACCTTGGAGCCCCACAGCCTCTTGTCCCTGCCTGGCAAGCACCCCACTTCTGCTCACTCCCTACCACCCCAAGGGGAGAGTCACATTCACAGGGACCTTGTGAGGGTTCAATAATATAAATGCCAGGAGAGTTCTCAACGCTGCGCTTGGCATGCAGTAGGTGCTCAATAAATGGTGTTGCACTCATTCATGGGCTGCACTCACTCCTGAGGGGCTGGAACCTGCGGACTCATCTCTGCTTCTCTGGCCCAGTCCTGCTCCCAAGGGAGCTCCTCCGCTGGTGCAGAGGGAGAGACGGAAGAACTTTGCTGACTAGGGCACTGTCCTGCCCCTTTTCCTGCCGGGAGGGGAGACTGTCTTGGTTCACAGTTTACAATAAGTGCAACTTCATTTCCTCCACCCCAGCATACCTGCACCCAGAGCTGACAGTTTCTGTTAAATTTTTGGGGCTCCTTGCACCAGCCAAGCGCTGATTGAGTTATGGTGTTTTGCTCTACAAGGCACCTCTACCTCTAGCTTCTGCAGGTCAGGAAAACCCAGAAACTCTGGGCCCTTAGGAGATGGACCCTGCCATGTGCTGTCCCGCATAAACTCACAGACCCACCCACCAGTCCATCTGCAAGGGGCATGGAATTCACTAAATAGCTACTCATTAAATGCCCTATTTTGGGGGTGGGAACAGGTGGAAGCAAGACCTATGAGCTGCTTGCT